GCTTAGATTTCCCGTTAGATCTCACAGATTCTGTGTATTAGTCATCTTCTTGATTTGCCGTTGTTCCTACAGCCCTAACCAGAAGTGAAGGGATAAATTCCAAACCCATTCAATGAACATAAGAAGGGGAAAACACACAATATATTGACAGGTTTCAGAGGAACAGCCGTGTTAGTCTGTATTCGCAAAAAGAAAAGGAGTACTTGTGGCACCTTAGAGACTAACCAATTTATTTGAGCATGAGCTTTCGTGAGCTACAGCTCACTTCATCGGATGCATACCGTGGAAACTGCAGAAGACATTATATACACAGAGACCATGAAACAATACCTCCTCCCACCCCACTCTCCTGCTGGTAATAGCTTATCTAAAGTGATCACTCTCCTTACAATGTGTATGATAATCAAGTTGGGCCATTTCCAGCACAAATCCAGGTTCTCTCACCCCCCCCCCCTTTTTATTTTTTGTTTTTGGCGGGTGGGGGTGAGAAAACCTGGATTTGTGCTGGAAATGGCCCACCTTGATTTTCATACACATTGTAAGAAGAGTGGTCACTTTGGATGGGCTATTACCAGCAGGAGAGTGAGTTTGTGTGTGTGTGTGGGGGGGGGGGGGGCAGAGGGTGAGAAAACCTGGATTTGTGCTGGAAATGGCCCACCTTGATTTTCATACACATTGTAAGGAGAGTGGTCACTTTGGATGGGCTATTACCAGCAGGAGAGTGAGTTTGTGTGTGTGTGTGTGGGGGGGGGGGGGGCAGAGGGTGAGAAAACCTGGATTTGTGCTGGAAATGGCCCACCTTGATTTTCATACACATTGTAAGGAGAGTGGTCACTTTGGATGGGCTATTACCAGCAGGAGAGTGAGTTTGTGTGTGTGTGGGGGGGGGGGGGGCAGAGGGTGAGAAAACCTGGATTTGTGCTGGAAATGGCCCACCTGATGATCACTTTAGATAAGCTATTACAGCAGGAAAGTGGGGTGGGAGGAGGTATTGTTTCATGGTCTCTGTGTATATAATGTCTTCTGCAGTTTCCACAGTATGCATCCGATGAAGTGAGCTGTAGCTCACGAAAGCTTACGCTCATATACAATATATTAAAACTCTTATTGCCCATCTTGTGAAGACAAACTTTTATCTTTACATATAGGTGACTGATCTATTACTTTATTTACAATGCATAATAGTAACCCATGATAACTGTGCTAATATTAGCTTTGTAGGAGAAAATAACTTCTAAAACCAAACAGCAGGGAACAACTGCTTATCTACTTAATTTAATCTGAGTAAAAGCAAGGTATTATACAAACAATATGTCACAGGTGATAGTGTGAGTGTGTAACAATAATAATAAACTTGGTAAAATATCTGCCATTCAAATGTTTCATAGAAAATAGTGGTTGCAGTATTAGATAATACAATTATTTAAAATACTTAATGCAGATACAAAGGCAAGTTGACACTAAGATGTTAGGTGCCTCAGAAATAGATAGGCAGAAGAAAATTTTAAAAGGATAGGCAAGAAAAAAGATAGAATTTTAATAAAAATACCTGTCATATTGCCATGATTGCTGGTGTTACAGGCTGATATGCTTTTAATTAGTTAAACATGTTCTTTTTTATAAGGATCAGTTTTTGAGACAATGTTATTTACGCTGTGATCTAAAGCCTACTGAAGTTAATGGGAATCTTTCCATGGACTTCAATGAGCTTTAGAAGAGGGCCGTAAAGAGTGTTTGAAATATAAAAAGACAGATAGGCAATTTGTTCAGTGTTCACTCACTCACAACTTCCTGTAAAATTTTCCTTTTGGTTTGAATTTATTCTATATTTGGGCTCTTCAGAAGGTGATGAATTTTTTTTGAAAGTTTGAGGAAAATCATCTCCAACCCTTTCTGCGTTCTGCAAAGCTGAAAAAAATTGCATGCTTTCCTCTGTATATTATTATACAGCACCCCTTAGTTTAACTCAAATTAGAAACAGCCGAACTTTGAAATTTGTCATGTAAACTGGTTATTTTGGACTGCATACACAACTAAATTTAATAAACAGCTGGAAGGATAATCAAATTATGATTTATCAGCTGTTAATAATGCTTCTGAGCATGCTCAGTAGGCATCCACTAAGACTGATTTATTTCTAAACACAGCTGAAGAAGCCACTTTCCCACGTTTGAGACAGCACAATGCATATATTCTCTCTGCCTGGCATAACAGGGCTGATGCTCACATGTGCTGCTCACACAAATTAATTGAAGGAGATTCTAAGGTTTAGCCTACACAAGCTTTTGTAGCAGTATGAGTTGTGGTTAGGAGTATCATTTTTTTTTTAACTGAAATATTTATATTAATATATCCCCAGTGTGTGTGAAGTTATACTGGTATAAACATGCCTTATAAGAGTATAACGATTCCCATTCAGGAAGGAGAATAAATTACACTGATAAAAGGCACCTTTATACTGGTATAACTGCATCCTTACTAGGGATTTACTAATATAACTATTTTGGTTGAAAAGAAAAGTCACAGAGGGGCGATTGTATCACCTTCAATAGCATGAAACCTATTGAGGGGGTATAAAGAAAGTGGACACAGATTCACAATGTAAACTATCTAGGCAGCAGAGATATAGTGTAATGAAGACATCCTCCAAAAATGCTCATTAAAATAAAATTTGATCAAATAAAAAAAAATTCAGTTTGCTGAGTTTGTGTATTTTACAGCAGTTTTGTTGGTCAATTCCAGTGTTTTAACCACTATAGACCCAATTCACAGCTGCCCTGCACCTTGTATAGTTATTTACAAGGTAGAGTTAGTAACATTTTAACATACTTCGCACTGGTAGTATGAATAACTACACAAGAGGCCTGATACTCACTTATTCCATTCCTGCGCTTGTGGCTTTAACTCATGTTTCCATTCTCTGTATTCTGGGGTGTGGCAGATAGCCACCTCCTGGGCTGCTGCTAATTGCTGGGCTATTGAGGACTGAGATAAGAAGGCTGCATGAAAAGACAGCTGCCAGGTAGGCTGAGAACTTGTGAGGGGATTCAGAGTAACAGCCCTGTTAGTCTGTATTCGCAAAAAGAAAAGGAGTACTTGTGGCACCTTAGAGACTAACCAATTTATTTGAGCATACGCTTTCGTGAGCTGTAGCTCACTTCATCAGATGCATACTGTGGAAACTGCAGTTTCCACAGTATGCATCCGATGAAGTGAGCTGTAGCTCATGAAAGCTTATGCTCAAATAAATTGGTTAGTCTCTAAGGTGCCACAAGTCCTCCTTTCCTTCTTGTGAGGGGTGTTTCTCAGCAGCACATTGGTAGGAAGCTGCACAAGGAGCTTGCCTTCCCCTGAGAGAGTACTGGCGGAGGTAGTCCTGGGAAAGGACTGTGGACAGGTGGAGATAGAAAGCAACCCAGGGAAGCAGCAAGGAATTGTAAGGAGCAGGTTTTAGCTTCTTAAACACAGAATCCCTGGATTCTGCCAGAAGAGAAGGCAGGTGTGTGTTCTCCTACCCACCTGAGAAAAAGAGATATGAAAGCCTCTCTGAGGAAAAGGGGGCAAGGAACTATAAAACTTAGCTTGGGACTGATGACCTGATATAGGGTCACTGGGCTTTTGCCCTGTGGGATTATTCTTTATTACCTGAGGAGGGGTGAGATTATAAATGACCTGTCCGGTGTTGTGAGAAGAAGCTGACTGTCACAGGGACAGACTGCTGGCTGGTGGGGAAACTGAGGTGGAGTCACTGCAACACCATGCCTGGCCATGAGAGAACATGTTGGCAGGTAAGTGACCTGTGACATGGAACCGTGAAGGAGCCTGCCCAACCCCTGAAGTGACTAGGGTTACCAGTTTTGGTTGGATGTTAGTGTTGCCAACTCTAGCTGAAGCTATTCTGGGAGATTCCCTTCCCTCCCCCCCCAAAAGGGAACTCTAGCTGAAAATGACTAATCATTGGAAGATCAGTGCTGTCCAGGAGACTCTAGGCCAATCCTTGGAGGGGGGGGAGTGGAGGTTAAGAAAAAGATTAAGTAACCTGTAGACTCTGGGACAATCCTGGACGGTTGGCAACCCTAGGAGTGACTTAGAGCAGTTTCAGAGCTGTTCCAACTTACATACTGCTTCCAAGGGGCCTTGGAAGTAGAGAATTCCTAGTTATGTCCCCAAATTCCACCCCTTACATGGAGATCTATGAACTGTGTTCACAGGGCCACTACACAGGGAGTATTCTCCAAGGGCCACTCCTGTCCACTCTAAGGCCCACTTCTGGTGCCAGAGCACTGTAATGGAGCCTTAGTAAATGAGAATCAACAACTATGCTACTAGGTAACAGAGAAGAGGGCCACAGCTAGGATTGCCAACATTGTATTTCAAATATAAGGGACTGTTTTTTAGCACCCCCACCCGTCTTTCTAATATCATTATTAATAATAATAAGCAGTACGCCCCCACATTCGCCAGAGGTATTTCATGCTGCTTTTTTGCAGCACTCAGCAACTCCTAATCTTGTTGTACAGGGATGAAGAAATCAGGGCTATCCCTTGTAATAAGGGACTGTTGGCAACCCTATATACAGCACTGAGATTTAAAAGGAGCCTAGCAGAGTTAGGTGCTCATCTCCCATTGACATTCAATGGCAATTGGGCACCCCACTCCTTATGGCACCTTTGATAACGCCAGACTAGAACTGTAAGCCAAGCTAGGTGACGCGGTACCAGTGGCAACAGACAGGCCAGCTACATTAGCGCTCTCAGTATTGCTGACACGAGTGGAGCTCATCCCATTTGTCAAAAGTCAAAAGATTTGAAAACCTTCCCTAATATAGACGGGACTGAAATATCCATTTACATTTCCCGAGAACGGTTTCTAATGACTGCCAGTCTAACGTTTCAGACATGTTTGATTACTGAAAGCCCATATTTAGAAATGTGAGTGGCTGGGAGTTGCTGAACCACAGAGCTTTATTCAGCACTTTGTGTGAGAGATGAGATGGAATGCAACGTGAGAACAAATCCCAGTTCCTGAACTGACAAAATATTGTTAAGAAAATAAAAGCTGTACTATTTTGCTTACTTCCTCTTTCTTGCTGTTGGTTTTGTGTAAATGTTTCTGTTTTGTTTTCACCCTCGCTAGCAAGCTGCAAGTTTTGGATAGCTAAAAGCAGAAGAAGGAAGTGTCTTACTGAATTAACTGAAAGGAACAAGAACTGAGGTAGGACAAAGTTAAATTTATATATATATATAAATATATATTACTTTAGTCCTTTCCTTAAAAGTAGATCAAGACTATTCAAAATAAGAGTAGGAGGAATTTTAGTTATCGCCTGTTTCTTGCACGAAGTTTTGTAGTTGCTAGAAAAGTTAAGCATCTACTCGATTCACGTATGTTAAAGCTAGTCTAAGGTGTTTTCCTTGAGAAGGGATATCCATGTAAGATTTTGTAATTAAAAATATTTTGGAAGATGAAAGATAATGAACTAATGAGAGATCTGACAAAGTGAATATCCTTTGCTTTGTACTAGCAACCAACTGCAGATTTTGTCAACTGTAATCTTTTGAAGGGTGGAGTTTTTGTTTTTGTGTGTATACGCACATGTGTGGGAAGAGTGAATAAAATGTCATGCATGTCTTGACAAATGTCCAATTTAATTCAGTACAATGTTAATTACAAATGAAATATAAATGAGTATGTTTTCGTAGTTCTGATCCTGAAAAGATACGTAGTAGGCCAGTGAATGGTGACTTGGTTGGCTGTTTAATGTTATTACATTGGGTTTTCTGACAATGCAATGGCTAATGCAAGTTATATAACGTTAATTAGGCTCCGTCCACACTGCGCACCTTACAACTGTGCTGACACAGCCGTGCCGTTGTAAGGTACACAGGGTAGCTGCTCTTTGTCGCCAGGACAGAGCTCTCCCACCGATGAAGCGCTGTCCACACCAGCACTTTTTGTTGTTAAAACTTTTGTCATTCAGGGGGGTGGGTTTTTTTCACATCCCTGAGCGATGACATAGCCTAAGTACTTGGCATAACTATTCTGATAGTTCTGAGAACTCACCCAAGAGCACATCCTATTCAGACGAAATATTTTTTAGCTAAACAGCAGATCATCTGTACTTCATATTTCATGTTGAGAAATTCATTTAGCAACGTGTACATTGTACTTCTGAAAAATTGAGCTCATGAGCCTACTTTGTAAGCAGCTCCCATTGACTTGTGTTGGAATTGTGGGTGCTCTGCACCTCTGAAAATCAGACCAGAAAACTTTATATTTACACATGTAATATGCATACCACTGTAACATACCCTATTCAGGAGTGTTCATTTCTATTAAAACATGGTGTGAAGTTATTTTCTCTTAAGTTCAGAAGTCTTCATATTGATAGTTATTTTATTGGATGCTTTAAAATCTACTCACCTACTTGAATAGGGGCTCGTGAATGGCTGAAGTCTGGGAAAGAGTTGTTTTAGTTTCTTTGCCTAATTTGTGTGTGTGGTGAGTGGGATCTATCATTGTTCGGTGTTTTTGTTTAGACTAATTCTGGTCTCACTAACATCAGTTTAAATCAGGGAATAACCACTTACGCTAGTTGAAAATATTTTGGTGAAACATATTTTCACTAAAAAAAAAAGCAATTTAGAGAACCCTGAAATTTTGCAAAATTGTGACTATTTTACCAAAATCTTTTGACAGAAAAACTTGGTTTGTTCTTATTTTAAATTTATGGTTTCATTCAGGGTTTTCCTGCAGCCTGTAACATGTTGACTGGCTGAGAGTACACTGGTACAGTTTAGCCACTTACCCCTCATGACTGAGGGTTTGTTCACGGCTGTGTCTGCAAGCAGAGAGAGCAGACTGGTTCTCTTTGCGTCAGTGGCTTTTTGGGAGGGTTCCCCAGCACAGCAGGTTACAGGTACTCTTTTTCTCTGAGCCCTACTGCTGTATGATGGAGTAATTATTGATTGCACGTCACCCCCAGAAAGCCTGGCTGCCTTTCCCTGTCCCCCCTGTTTTGTAAGATGAAAGAGGGACTGTATGCAGCAGTTGTCTGTCCCCAGAAAGAGAGAGGATTTTTTTCTGATCCTGCTGAGCAGTCTGAGAGTTGTGTTTGTGGATCTGGGAGATGTCTGCTTGTAGTCTGCAAAGCCGTGTCTTCCATGGAGCACTTCAGGGTGTGAAAAAGAAAGCAATCTTCCAGAAGTGGAATGCAGCATGAAGAGCCGCAGGTGGTGGTAGGGGAACCAGAAAACCACACTTTGCCTGAGGCAGACAACTCTGAAGAGGACTATTTCCATGGGGCACAGTCAACCACTCCGGGTGCAGGAAGAGCTAGTGAGGAGGAGAATGGTGCATCTCCAGTTAGTCCAGCACCACATGAGGTTAAGCCTCAGCAGCAGGGCACTGGCCAGAGACCATCAACATCCTCTGAAACCTTGTTCCACTATGCTGCTTCTGGAATGGATGTGGTCGATGCTGGTACTCACACTCCCAGGTGGGAGGAAAGTCACTGCCTCCATCTCTGCTGTGGGCATGGTTTCGATGGGAACGCTAAGGGGAAGGCGGTGCTCCCACACTGCATTTCTCTCAGCAGCAAAAGTCACCACCATCTACAATCCCCCACCCCCCTGCCCCCTGACAGCACCGGTGTCATTTGCTAACTCCTGAAAATGGAGGATGAGTCTGGGTGTGACCCAAAAGGATGGGGATATCAGGGATGGTTAAAATCCATCAAGACCAATCACGGCGTGCACATGATGCAACCAGTTAGCCCAGAGCTTACAGAAAAGCAAACAACAGCAAACTCCAGAGCAGAGGCTGACTGCGACACCACCAATGTCTTCCATGACTTTGTCAGCTAAGTCCAGCAGCATCTCTCAACAGTACCTAGCGGATTGTATTCAGAGGGGGCAAAAACATGAATGCAACCACCCTGTGACTGTGAAACCTGACCACAGTGAGCAAGGATGCTGGCTGTGGACATTCTTCCTTTCTCCCATGTGGAGGGAGATGGCTTCAGACACTTTGTGGCTTCAGCTTCCCCCCGGTGGCCGATCCCTAGCTGCACTTCCTGGCGTAAGAGGAAGTGCCAGATCTGTGTGCTGCTATGAGAAGTACAGAATGGTGTAGCCTAGGTGGGCAAGTGCAGCAGAACACTACCGTGTGGACCAGTGGTCAGACAACTTCCTACATGGCTGTTATGGCCCACTGGGTGAGCAGCAGTAGCAGGGAGACTAGCATCAACCCTGGCACATGTACCCTCACTCGCAGCATGCCATGCTTTTGATGCCCGGGTTTGAGAAGCAGCACACCTTCTGGAACAGTGTGCTGGATGCAGTGTGCTGTCATGGGCGGTGTGCGAACCGCTGGTTCGGGGAGGCTAGCCCCAAGCCCCGCCCCTGCCACCTGAGGCCCTGCCCCTTCTGCATCCCCCAGTGCAAAGCCTCCCCCCAGCTTCTGGCCCCCTCCCCATGCTAGTACCCCCAGACCCCAAGCACCAGGAGGGTAGGTGGCGCGGCTCCAGCCCGAGCCAGGGCCACGGCACAGAGGGGAAGAGCCACAGAGTGGGAAGCAGCTGGAAGAGACACTGGAGGTGGAGCATAGGCGGGGCCACAGTTGGTTGTTTGGGGAGGCTCAGCCTCCCCCAGACTATGATACCCGCCGCCCATGTGTGCTGTCATAGAGGGGTGGCTAAGGCCCCCTCCAACTTCTTTGCTGTGACTGTGGCAATGAACTACGGAGTAAATTATGTGGTGTAGGATGGTGACTTCCAGCATGTCCCTTGCCTCACTGGCTGCTGCAGTCTGATAGAGGGAATTTCTGGAGGAGGGATGCAGAGTTGCAGGCACTGTCTCAGTGGCCAGTAAGCTATGTGGTCACTTCAGACAGTCCTATGAAGTGTGCCACAACCTTAAAGACCAGAAGGAGTCACTAAAACTGTCATCCCCCAGTTGGAACACTCCCTTTTACATGCTGGAACAGCTCTACGGGCAGCCTGCAAGCATTCTGCGTCCATAAAGTTGAGGCAAGTGTAACCCACATAACCTCCTGGGTGTGGTGCTCTGTCCCCTCTGGAGGCACTGAGATCACTTAGAGATGAATGAATCTGCTACAGTCTTAGCTAAGGGCCATGTGGCTTTTAGCTTATGCAGTAGAGGCTCATGCATTTAGCTCAGAAGTCCCAGTTTCAATCCCAACAACCGGGGTCTGTCAGTGTTACACAAGCACAGACACACTTACCTCCATTTGGGACCATCCTACTGGCAGGTCAGGAAGAAGCTAGCTGACTTCCTACGGCACACTGACCTCACAACTAGACAGTGAGGATGACACAAGAATCAGCCAAGTAATTCCCTCGCTGTGCCTGCTCTGGGGAGAGAACTGAGATGCACGCAGATCTACTTCCAGGAATGGGATGACATCACTGGTGAATCACCAGTGCAGGATATGCTGACTACTCTTCTGGGAAATTATCATCTTCAAGGCATCAGGGAAGAGTGCTGCTGGGTGATAACATCTCTAAACCCCCTGATTCAGGGGTTTCTTCCTGTGAGCAGAGAATGAGGAAAGAATATGGCATTTGAAAAACAGACTGATGGAGATAGCTAAAGTCTGCTCTGCTGAGTTTTTCATTTGCTGGAGCTGGAGAAGTGGTGTTGTGAGGAAACAAGCCTTTCTCTCCAGTTATGTAATTTTTTTCTTCCCAAGTACTATGAAAACCGTAACAAGTTTTGCAGGACACTTGGTTTTACTGTTTCACGTTCACAGAATAAATCCACGTGTAGCTTTTCATAATTCCCCTCACATTGGTCTAGCTCTGGCTTCAGTGTAGAAGCCACACTGTAGGTGGGTGAAATGTGTGTATGTGGCATTTGCATGGATCTTAAGGGGGAATACTGGGAAGAGTTTGGATCAGTTCTACTATACCTGTAAGTGAGCCCACAAATCAATACTAGAAGTTATGCTGTTTGCTGGAATGGCTACCTTTATGCGTTTCTATAACTTAACTCTAGCATGAGGATAGATTATTGACTTACTTCCCAAGCCCCAGTGTGGAGGGCCACACACAAGCAGTGTGTGCTTGTCTGCCCTTTACCCTTTGACTTTCTGGCTTCAGTAACCCTCCCAGGAGCCGAAACTCCCACGGGCATAGCTCTGTGCTGTTGGAGCACAAAAACCTTCCCAATGTCCGCAGGGAAAGGAGTAAAAGT